TGACGAAGCTTTTGCGGAGCTCATGTGGCAGCTCCACCACATCCTCTGCTCCAAATACCCCCCCCCCCCCCCTCCAACTCCTGCCCCCACCGCAGCTGATGCTTTTTCTAATAATTAATTTAAAACTTTTTCTTTTAAACTGAGCAAACCCCCAGCCTTCCCCCCAACCCCTCTGGCGTGTGTGTATGTGGAAAACATTTGCGAGAAATATTTTCGGAGGCGCTACTAATTAACATGAGCGCAAAGGGCAGGGGGTAGGGGGGGCAGAGAACCCCTCAGAAAAGGCAAAGCAGTCCTTGCAGTTCTCAAGGATCTCGTAAGAGGTTCAGGGTCAGTGCGGGCTTTAAAAGAAAGTAGAGTAAGAGAGATATCTTCAAACAGGACAGTCGCCATTTTGCTTGTAACATATGTAAAACTAATTGGCCTCCCCGTTTTGCAACCCTCCCACTGGCTCTACTGACTACTTTCACCACTAATCAGGGGCTCATATGGGAGGGCAAAGAGCAGGGGAGACCCTTGTTGAACCCTGACCCCGGCCATAAGTCAACACTCACATGGTTAACCCCTGACCCGCCCCGCCCCGCCCACCAGCAAACGTTGTTTTTGTCCCAAAAGTAAGCGATTCGAAAGCGACAAAATAATCGGCATTTTATAACCCATTATCCGCCATCGGGGGTTGTGGCCTGACCCCTGACCCCTGACCCCTTTCCCATCCCCTCCTCTCTCATAAAACATATATCCCAAATGCAAATCAAGCCATCCGCAATCCTCACGAGCAGTGGGCCATGTAAATGAGCCCCTAACCCTTCGCCTAACCCCTGACCTTGCAACCCCTGCCCAAACCGGAATCGAAATGGGCATGGCCCAACCCCAAAACCCCGTACATGTGTGGAAATCTTTGCCGAAACACTTGGCGAGACTTGGCTAGCGAAAACCCGTCTGACTTGACGCCCCAGTAAGTGATATCCCTCATGACTGCTCGACTGGTTAACTGGATGTTTGGTTGTCTGGTTGTCCTGTCCTATCCTGTCCTATCTTGTCCTGTTCCACCCCTTCCATTTCCACTTCCACTCGAACCGAAAGGGCAGGGGTCAAGGGTGATATGACACCACACACATGCGGGTCGGGTTAGATTGGGACTCAGATTCAGATTCAGATTCAGAACTCAGATTCAAATTCAGATTCGGACTCGCTTTCAATTCGACTTTCCCCCCCCCCCTTTTCTCTCCATTTCCATTTATTTTCACTTACTTTCTGTTTTGTTTGCCTGTCAACATTGTCTGCCGACTTGTCCTTCAGCCTTAGCATGTGTGTGTGTGTGTGGAGAGAACGAACATAGTGTGGCCAAATGGGCGACGCTTTTCCGTTCGGGGTAGAAAATGATGAAAATTTCCATATTATCGAAGGTCCACTGGATGGGGGGCGGCAGACGACAGGCAATGTGTGATAATTTGTTGATTTGGGCCCGGTCTGAGTCGAGCTGAGCTGGGCAACTTGTTGCATACCCCCAGGCGCAACAATGCCAACGGAAGGGGGCGTGGCTGGGAAACGGAGACGGTCCGCATGTGTATTTTGATGCCGGACGTCAAGGACACGGCACAAGACGTTGTCTGGTGTGTCCACCTCCGCCCCTTTGCCCGTCTGTCTAACTGTCTGGGTGAGTGTGTTAATGTATTCATTGCCTGGGCAGGGAAACCCAGACCCCGGACATGCCGTTCGCCGGATACCGGAAGTAGTAGTCAGCAAGCCATAAAAACTTAAGGAGCACACACACATGGATGGGGGGAGAAAGAGAAAAAGAGAGTTGGCAAAGCCAAGGGGATACGAGTGTGAGTGTGTTTTTTTCGGGCATCACATATGCTCTTGACTGGGTGACACACACACACACGCAGGCAGAGACACACACACACAGACAGGACGTTCATTTGTGCTAGCTATAGGGTGTAGATTGGGTGGTGCAGGGGGAGGTGTGGGGGGTGGAAGTTGCTCGCCTTTTCCTTTATCTTCTGCTTTTTTTTCCTTTTTTCTTTTTTTTTTTTGGCAGGACGAAGTGAAAGTGAGTCACATGCCAGGACGACAACAAAGGGAGGAGGACGACGACTTCACTTGCTTGGTCAATTGCCATGTGTGTGTGTGTGTGGGTGTGGGTGTGAAACGACCTTGGCCTTACTTTCGCCTTTGTCGTTGTCGTTGTCGTATCTTTCGTCGCCTTGTGCGTGTGTTGGGCCCGGCCAGCTTCAGCTTCAGCTTCCCCCTTTGTCTGACGTCCTTCGTCTTTCGTCCTTGGCTCTGCTCCTGTAATTTTATGCGGATTATCACTGCTCACACACACACACACAAACACACAGAGGGAGAGGTGAGACGCGTGTGTTTGTCAGACAGACAGGTAGACAGACTCTTCTTCTTGGCCCCCCTCCCTCCCTCAGTCTGCCTGCCAAGATGGCAGCTGCCACTGCTGCAAGGTCAAGTCAAGTCTCGAGCCAGCTCAACTCGGCTCGGTTGCCAGGCAAGGCCACAGGTTGGGTTGGGGTTGGGCTTGGTCTTGGGGTGTGGATGTGGGTGGCAGTGGGCTGTGGGCTGTGGGCGATGGCCAGGAAGGAGGTGTGATGGAGAAGCCGGAAGTTAAAAGTCCATGGCGAAGAGCTTGGAAAAAAAACAACAGCCGCGAGAGCGAGGAAACGACAAACACTTGAGAGTCGGCACGGACAGTGTGGATTTTAATTTCAATGCCTGGTCTGGTCTGGGTCTTGGTCTTGGTCCTGGAGCCCCATCCCTCTCCACTTTCTGTGTCCGCGTTCGTGCTCGCATTGTCTGTCGGTCTGTGTGAGGGTGTCTGAACCCCCCTTTTATTCCACCGCCACTGCTTTTTGTCGACAAACTCCTTCGCAGTGGCCACGCAACGTCCTTGGAAGCTGCCAAGATGGGTGGCTCGGCTTGGCTTTCTCTAGGTCATGGCACCTGTTGCAAGTCTGATATTGAGACCCCGGGCTTACGGATTTCCCAGAAAAAACAAAGAAATTCAACTGTTCAGTTTGTAGCCCCACTAAGCATACACTCTAATTGATAACTTCAACCGCTGCTTGCTCAATGCGATTGTCAATAACAATTAAGGCCAAAGTATACATATATATTTTTATACCCACTCATGTGTTTGATTTTTTATTAAAAAACTTTGCTGCTCTCGAAGCGTTGAACATGGAAATGCAATAAAGCGGGTCTATGCCCCCCCTGGAACCCCTATCTTAGTTTTCAGCGAGATGAGATGCATTAATACCGCCCACCAGTATCTGAACCATCATGAGTAGCAACCCCACAGATACAAAAAAAAAAACCTGCTAAACTTTGCACGAAATTACAAGCTCAAATGCGCCGCAGGAAGATGCAACAACATTAAAATGCAAAATGAGAAATGGCAGCGGCTTTCAAACAATAGCAAAAAACTATCAAAACTGACTTTCTACAATTTACACACATGTCCCGACACACACATCCAAACGTTATAACAAAGCAATACAAAGATACAGATACAGATGCAGATACAAATGCAAACGAACAAAATGAGTGGAAAAAAAGTATAATTATTTTAATACAAAAGCAACAAAAAGGTAAAGAAACAAAAAGCGAAATTACATTAACAATGCAGCGACCCCGCCCCGCCCATTCCGCCCACCACAAGCTACACACATATAGTATACCACGAATAAGTAAAAAAAAAAATAGACACAAACACACTTATTCAAAAGGATCACATTATGTGAATGTGTGTGTGTGTGTGGAGTGGTGAGAGAGAAGGAAAAGCGAAAAAATGCCGCGCCAAATTATATTATAATTATATTTAAAATGCTGCCGACGGACCTGCCGCCTGCCACGCCCCCTTTTCCTGTGGAGGCAGCCAAGTAGAAAAAAATTACTAATAATTTTGACGAAAAATGGAAAAACAGCTTAAATTTCGCCATATATACGTTGTAGACAAAAAAGCAAACCCATTTCGGGAGTTCCTACTCTATTGGCAGGCGGTTGTAATACCCTTCCCAGGATTTTGGGAACATAATCCATTGATATACATTAAATTATATATATATATGTTTGGCTTAACGCTAATTAACAGAATTAATCAATAACAAGGCAAAGCTTTTTAAAAAGCTAAGATACAACCATCTCAAAAGTGAGGGCATAAATAGATGAAAACTAAATGAGTTTTCGCGCTACTTGGGCCTTCTTCTAACTTTGTGAGCGCAAAAAAAGTGCATAATATGCATCAAAACAGTGGTGAAAAAAACAACAATGACATTGGCAACAATGGGTTAAAAGGGGGGATGGGGAAGGGGGGTCGAAAGTGGCAATGGGGCAGTTGCACGACTCACAAGCGAATAAATTTCAAGCGCTTCGGGAACACGTATCACGTATACGCGATGTGTAACACGGTTGCCGCAGTGCAGCCAAACAAACGTTTAAAAAAGGGGGGTAGGTTAACTTAGGGAGGGGCTAGTGAGTAGGGGGGTGCCCCTGGTTTTCTGGCCACCAGCCAAAACTGATGCTAACTATAATTTGCACTGGTTGTTGTTGCCACTTTTTTAATTTCATTTGCCTACCCTGCAATCCCACGGGTGATTCACGACTTTTCCAGCATTTTCCCAGTCGCCGCTTCTCCGCGGTATTCGCAAATCGAACCAAAACCCCAAAAACTGTGCGATTCGTGCCGCTTTGTTGGCTTGGCTTAATTTTCCGGGGGCCGTTTTGCTCGCTTTTCCCCCAAGTAATTTATGTATTTATTATTTTTTATAAGTCGCATTTAGTTTTGCAGGACGAGAGGGCAACTTGCATGTATGCAATTCATTTCACTTGGTTTGCTTTGTGGCCCAGCTTTTCATTTTTCCCTTTTTCAGTTTTCAGTATTTAGACAAAAACCCAATTGCGGCCCTAACTGACTTTGGCATAGACAATATGGATGGCTTGCCGGAATTTATTACAAATGCAATTTGTTCGCTTTATCCTTGCAGGCAATACCATTTTTTTCTAACTAAGAGGATCCGAATGGTGGAGGAGGGAAAAGAAGTGCAGTTCGTGGTATTTCAAACAGGTAAGCTTATTCCCCTAGTTATGCAGATAAGATAAGACAACCTTGGTTCGCGATTTATCTAACTAAGATGATGCGCCTGCATCTGGAGCCAAGGCCACGGGGTTATCCCCCTCATTGTGACCCCAATAGCACGTCATCCGTCTTATCGGCTGCCAGCGACAAATATTGGTATTAGCTCAGTCAGCAGACGGGGTCTAATCAGGTAGTAAAGCCCGCAGAATGGCCAACAGTCTTCGTGACCCACAGCTACTTTTAAACCAGATGTATATAACTGCTCCATGCACTAAAATACAACATTTACTTTAATTTAGGAAATTGATTTTCGGTTTAAGGGTTTGCATTAATCTTGTTATGAAAGTACATTATAATTCGGAATCCTCATTTAAATATTACTTTTGATTAATTGAATTCATTTTCGGTACAGGGTTTAATGTATACAGAGAGAATTATTGAAGTACATTGTTCTTGAATTGAGAACATTCGTTCTTAAAAACCGTGTAAGTACATTTTGGTATGTATGTTCTAATACTAAAACGAAATGGTGAGAAGAAAAAAGTTTAATAGAGTTTATTTAAAAACTTTTTAATAAGTATACACTACTGGCTGTACTTATAGTTAAAGAATTGAGAAATACAATGTTAACACAGTTCAACTTTGTTCAAGAACAATGAAAACATTTTCAACTTCAAATACTATAGTTCTGAATCTTTCTGTACTAAAATACCATGTATGCAATGAATCCAATTTTAGTTTTTTAAATTTTAGTTTGAAAAAATTGATTTCCTGTATATGGTTACTCTTAATCCTGCTAAGAAATGTATGCAATGTAGTTTCGATTCACTTCTCTAAATCGGATTTCTGTATCTCAAACTCGCGACTTTGAATCGCAATTTGCATCTTCAGTCTCTGTCGTGACATTCCATGCGAATACATCATTTTCATTTAGCGGAAATCTCAGACACTGAAAGGTGGGCGGATTTTCCACCACCCACAACTCATTTGGCAGTTACCGCACATTGCCAATCTTTTTATATATGTACATATATATATGCGTTCAAGTAATACTTTTGCAAACTTGGCTCCTTTGCCCCATTCCTTTGCCTTTGCCCGCGTGGGCGTGCTGTAAAAATTTGTGTCTAAACGCAAAACAAGGCGAAAAGAATGAAATAAAATAAAATGGGAGCTGCTGGTTGTTGGTAGTAGTAGTAGGATGTTGTTGTAGGGCTTTAGGACAGCCGCGCAACCGTTCAATCAACACCCCATTTGACTAACAACAACAAGAATTTAGAAGCGAAGATGCCTAGAGGGTGGTGGGGTGGTTTGGTATGGTGGAGCACCCCCCCCCCCACACACACACACAGAGAGAAGAAATCCCACCGTCTTACCATCCCTTACAAACACTATTCTAACGTTCGCGGAGCTATAAAAATATTTTTTAACATTTCTCACGCGAACATTTTCTTTTTTCGGGTTTTCCTTTTCGTTCCTGCGCTCTTTCGTCTGGCCCTGTCCTTGCCCTTGCACCCCCTTTGTGGCCCTAAGAACCCCTAGAAGGCCCCCCCCCCCTTTAGAAATCCCCCTAGAGCCCCCTCACTACTGCAAAAGTTTGCGTCTGTTTGTCTTCAGAACGCGGAGATTGGGGTTTTGCGAGAGTTGGTTTGGGTTGCTTGAGGTTCGAAAAAAGGGGCGTCGAAAGGGGGGCTTGTTGCGCTCTTTTCCTACCCCCTCCCCCTTGCCCACTTAACAACAACAACGTAATGAGAGGCGCCCCCCAAAAAATATACACAGGCACAAAAAATAGAGAGAGCGACGGCAACCAAAAATAATAATAATAATGAAAAGTTTACTGCATAGAAAAGAGCAGGCACAAAGTATTGCTAGCCAAAAAAAAAAAAAAGAAAAATAAAAAACAAAAAGGGGCGGCAAGGGGCGGAGTATGTATTTGAAACTAAACTGCAAAATAGAAGAAGATGGGGTGCTTGGCTTGACTGCACATTAACTTGATGCCAGTCCCTGCTCCTTACCATCCTCCTCCTCATCTCAATCCCCCGAACTCTGCATAAAGAAAGTTGTAACTATGAACATTTTATAAATTCCGCAGATTTTCCGGCGCTAAGAAAGCCGAGTTGAGTTGAGGGTAGCGTTAGAGATGGGGAGATGGGGTCGTTTGGGGGGGGGCTGGAGATCCAGTACGCCTTTGATAATGTGAGCGTTGGCATTTCCCCACCAGCCCATATAGTTGGAAAACTTTGCAGCTCCAGGAGATGTGGTGCAGTGGAGATGGGCCACTCGAGAGGCGTTGCTTTGATGGGATTGCCGTCGTGGAACAGAGCAAAAGAGTCGTAATACTTAGCTGCCGAACAAGTGGTCTTGGTTCTAAACAGTTTTTGGCTGGCTATTTGAAATATTACTATTAGGGTGGGTCGATTTCTAGGGGCACAACAAATTGGCTATCGTATGGGGGTTCTTTAAAGGGTTCTAAGCAATATTGGCGAGCAAGTATATGGTCTAAGAATACGTTTCACAGTTCTTTTTTATCATCATTATTATATTAAGTATCGTAGTAGCCAGGGGTTTCAAATTTAGTAATACAAATGTTTTGGATACTGAGATATTTGTACCTTAAAAAAAAACAGTATATATAAGTCGCATTTAAATCGGGTCAAACATCATTAGTTTGCTCAGAACCATTTCCTCTTAGGATTACTCCCCCCCCACACTATTTTTAGGCACCCAAATCGAACCACCCTAATGACTATGAGACGCGAGGGTTCTCGATTAAATCAAACAGCAAAAAGCAGAGGCGTAGAAGTAGAAGGAGATGTTGGGTTGGGATGGTACTGCGGTCGGTCTGAGGCGGCGGTAAACAAGAAATTTAAATTCAATGAAAGTTAATAAGGATAAGGATGTCTGGTCGCTAGCCTTGTGCCCTGGCTTCCTTGGAATATTCCGAACAGCCGATTGAATTATTTAATAAATTAATTGCGCAAATGAAGTACCGGCCACGCCCACATCCCAATTGGCGGCCGATAAAGCAATTAAGTTCGATGGTGGGGATGGGTAGCCTTCGGCAGCTGCATTTCCCCGGGGGGGCGTTGCAGCCCCTAAACCATAATGATGGAATCTAGAATCTCTAGAATCGACTAGAGACATTGATGGGGTTGCAAAATTACCGCTCTAAATAATCCCTTTTCCCTCCTGTTTTGCTGTTTCTGTTCCATTAAATTTCCATTCGCAGAAAACAAAAAAATAGGTATAAGAAATCGATCGATAATTTTTAATGTAGTCGTATTTCTTTTTAAGCACTCGCTTGTACCTTTTTGGCTGCCTGTCGCTTCAAGTTTTACCCAAACCAAACCTTACCAAAAAAAAAAAAAACCCCCCCCCCACGATTCGGTTCGGTTCAGTTCAGTTGAATTTAGCTCAGTTCGGTTCGGTTCGGTTTTCTTTTTGTGCGCTCCTTTTTTAATATTTACCCAATTCATCAAAAAATAAGTAATTATAAACTTTTCAGTTTTTCTTCTGCCGTCTTGCGTCTATGTTTGCCTGTGTGTGTGTGTGTGTGAGCGTTTCCCTTTTACAAAACGCTTTCCTTTCCCCGCCCCGCCCCCTTTCTCCACTAGAAAGGCTGTGCACACAGCTTCGATGTCGATGTCTTCCACCCAAAAACCGCCCAACCGCCCACCACCAGCAGAAACCGCTCACTCCTCCTGCAGGGAACCCCCCCCCCCCCCAACCACTCGTCGCGCAAAGTAGAAAAAAATTGGAAACAACCCCGAAAAAAGAAAGTTTTTGTTGTATAAGCGAAAAACTAAGCTTCTATTCAAATTCTACGCCATCGAGTGCTTCGTTTTTATTATTCATTCATTCCGTTCTCAACCTCTCACCCCCAACCCCCAACCCCCCACCCCCCTCCCCTTTCTTCTTGTTGTTGTATTTTTGGCACAAGCAAAATGAAAGCACAAGGAAAAAATGGGAAAAAGTAAAAAGATGAAAAATGTAAAGAAAGAGGAAAGTTTCCGATTACAGTGGGGGAGGTTCGAGACAAGGGGTAGTTAGGGGGGGGTTCTAAAGGGGCTGTATTGTAGGCCCGGCACAAAGCCAAGCACTAGTCCCCCGCCCACTTTCACCCCCTCCCGCGACTCACACACACACACACACTTACGCAGAATAAAAAATAAGAAAAAGAGAGGCAAGGAGCAATACATGCGCGTCTTTTGAGCATAAGTAGAATATAAAAATTTTGCGATTATGAATTTGAATAAAAACGATACGAAGCCAACAGCAGCAAGTACGCAGTCGAGATTCTGCCTCAGTCGCTGCCGACGCCTCAGCTTGACAATGTAGTTGTTGCTGGGACGCTCCCCGGGTGGATTAGAAGCTGCCATGGGCGTAGTGGGGGGTTTACAATTAAAACAGGGTTATATTAAAATTTCATTTTACCTAATTGGGGGCAAAACTTGGGCTTCTTCTATTATCTATATTAAGCATAACTTTTTTTATCTTTGAGTAAAAAGCTCTATTATCAAAATCTGGAACCGAAAAAAGGCGTTGTTCTACTCATTTTTAGTTGGGTAATTTTTTGTACTCATATATGTTAAAAATAAATAAGCCAAAGTAAAAAAAAAAAAAATTTTTTTTAAATAAATTTAAATATCCATTGCTCTAAAAAAAAAGTTTTGTTCATTGAACTCTATTAGTTAGTAAGACCTTTAGAGTGTTTTAAAGTTAAGTTCAGTTTTTAGGTGGTTTTTTCTTTTTTTTCTTAATTTTGTCCAAAGTTTTCTAAACTAATTCCAATGTGCTATTGATCTATATAGGAATCGTATTATCTCTTATCAATTACCTCTCCCCCTAAAGTAAAGATTCTACTCCCATGAAAGCTGCTGTATGTGGTTCGTGGTGTTTTGGGGAAATAGTCTGTGCCGTAGTTGCTGGCGCTACTTTTCCTGATTTCGTTCTTTTTTTTTTTGGGTACATTACATTTTTCATTTGGCCCC